GTAGAAGACTTCGACGCCGAGGGCGAGCGCGAGGCCCGCGTTTTTACGTTATGGCTCAACTCCCTCGACGTGCAGCCGGCGGTGCAATCCTTCTTCGACGACCTCCGCGACGGCACCATACTCCTGCAGGCCTACGACAAGGTCATCAAGGGCTCCGTCAACTGGCGCCACGTCAACAAGCCCCGGGCCGACGGCAGCGAGATGCTGCGCTTCAAGGCCGTCGAGAACACGAACTACGCCATCGAGCTGGGCAAGACATACGGTTTCTCGCTAGTCGGCATCCAGGGCGCAGACATCACAGACGGGCAGCGCACGCTTACTCTAGGCCTCGTCTGGCAGCTCATGCGCAAGGACATCACCCTCACCCTCTCGGCGCTGGCACAACGCCTCGGCAAGAAGGAGATCACGGACGCGGAGATGGTGCGGTGGGCGAACGACATGAGCCGCAAGGGCGGGCGGAACTCGAGCATCCGGTCCTTCAAGGACTCGTCCATCGGGAGCGGCGTGTTCCTGCTGGACGTGCTCAACGGCATGAAGAGCAGCTACGTCGACTACGACCTCGTCACGCCCGGCAAGACGGACGAGGACGCGTACCTGAACGCCAAGCTGAGCATCAGCATTGCCCGCAAGCTCGGGGCGACCATCTGGCTTGTCCCCGAGGATATCTGCCAGGTGCGCAGCCGGCTGGTTACTACTTTTATCGGTGAGTTTTGTTGCGTGGATGTGTCTCGAGGTGTATCTGGGACATTGTTACTGACCGTTATGACAGGTTCGCTTATGGCGACGTATGAGAAGATGTCTTCGTAAGAATAAGGGAGTGAGCAAGGATTCGGGGGGGATAGGTTGGCCTTCTCTGGGAAAATTTTTGGCTGAAGCAGGTTTTATTCTATTCTTGTCTTGGTTGTTATGCTGCATGCTTTCCTGGCTGAGGGATCGCGTTGGTGAGAACTCTAGCTCAGAAGTTTGGCTATGGAATTAAAAAGGATTCTCTGACCGTCTATGTGTATGGGTGACCGATGCTGTTTCTCGCGTCTCCGTTCTGCTGGGAGATGCATTTCCCCCTGTGGTTGTATCTGCCTTCCCAAATCTGTTCGTCTAACTTCATCATCATCAAAACTATCAAGAGTCACCGCCATTACTCTGCTCCTTCTTCTTACCGTCCACCCTTGGCGCGGCGTTAATCTCTATCGTAACCTATCGAACGTTAGCATTCCTCTCGCACCCATCACCTGCCTTTCCTCGTCACCGGATTCAAGGGACAAGGCTTACCGGCCCGTCATTGACAAGCGCAACCTGCATCATAGCCTGGAACACGCCGTCCTTGACTCGCTCGGCCTGGTAACCCTCCTGCACTTTAGAGTAGAAGTACTGGTACAGCCTCTTTGCTTCCTCCCCTCCTAGGGCGCCGTGGAAGTCTGGTTTGCTCCCCTTTTTCGTCGAGGCTAGTAGGGTGGATTGTGATACTGGCAGGGCGTGGGGGGTGTAAGGTCAGTCAAGTCTGTCAGAGGAAAGGGAGGATATACACCGCAGAATAGAATAGAGATAGCGGGTTCTGTAAGGAGAAAAACTCACCGCAAAGTACCTCGCCTTTAATGTCCTGGACGGATCGCTTCCACTACCAGCCATCATCGTCATCATCAGCATCTCAACCCGTCTGTCAACAAGCAGACCCCTCTCAACAAATTCACTCCACTTCAAAATTCCGATCCGCATGGTTGCAGGGGATAAGGGGGAAGCAACCCACCCGCCCACCGTCCTCGTCGTCCCAGAGCCTCATCTTGAGCACCTTCGCGGCCAGAGAATCTGCTTCTTTCTCCGTGTCCCCCGGCGCCATGGCGGCGAAGACGAGCACGCCCTTGCCGATCGAGGAGACCAGGACGGAGTCTACTGTTACTGACGCGGAGAGGACGCGTTGGAGGATTGCTGAGAGATGGTGTTGAGTAATCGGTGTGTTATGGATGAGACGTCTGGTCTGGAGGGGGACGTTTCCTACCTTTCATCCTGATGGCTCTGTCTCAGTCTCTCTCAGGGGTAAAATGAGTCCTAAGGTCGTCCGGCTTGTTCTCCAACCTCAATTTGGGGCAGTTTTGAGGTCTGTGATGGATAAGCTTCACCCTATATGATACGTTCGATCAAGCACTATGTCTAACCTATACGGGTATACAATCCCGTGTCTCTGTCGCTTGGCAGTCTATAGGTAGATGTTTTTGGGCTCAATCTCGCCCGTTCAAGGACTGGCAACATAAAAGACGTACGGAAACAAGCATATTTGCGATTAACGAGGCATGGGAAGAGCTACGCCGCAAATCTTGACAGCTGGCACAGACCGGCAGCCCATTAAAGATTTACGGTACGCATGTACAGTACACACGTACCGGCATTTCGTAAAGCAATACCATATACGGCATCCTAAAATGGCCTGCCGGTCAGGTATGTGACTAGGGGAACAGTGAGGCGACAAATGTGCTGAGTTTCGTTTTGGTAGATGCGGCGGCGCGCAAGTGTACATCCCAGCGTTCCTTGACTGCCCCTGGTTCGTGAGAGGAATAGAGAGAACGCTGTCGTGTGATGGAGGTTGACGGTCGCCTGGCCGTGAATATTTGCCAGTTCCAGTCGTCGGGCGATCTGCAAGCGCCAAGTTGATGGTATGAAACTACCTTGATGCTCCAAAGCTCGCCTGCTAGCCCACCAGGACCATAGTCTCGTCGCTGGATGGTAGTCATGAAGTCTGTCAGACAAACCAGGCAAGATCCACCTATATCGACACACTCTTTTGCATCGCTGAAGGACCCATCGCTACCCCATGGACCTAGCTCCTCTATTCGTCTAGGCCGTATATCTCTCTCACTAGGGCTAACTAGGGGAGGGTGTGTCGTAACATGATGGCAGATGTGATGGTCGTACCAATGGTCCAGCGCGCGTCGATTTTGTGGGCGGTCACCGTGTAGTTCAAGTGTGTGTAATACAGAGACGAAGAGTTGACCCTGAATAACCATCGCTGACGACTTGATGTGCCAGCCATCCCAAAATGGGGGGATTGTACGCTCAAGTTGGCTCAGGCTTAATCCGTGTCCGTGTCCGTGTCCGAAATAGTGCCTGTTCATCACCAGATGGACATGATTAAAATTGATAAAAAGCTTGCCCAAACTATTCATCTTGGGCCCGCATTGTAATTCAGGACAACTAGGCGACCAGGACGGAGAGAAACGGTGTAGTCGGTTGCAGAAGTGGCAATGGAAAAATCGGCGGCCGAGATCCCTCTCTAAGAGACAGAGTAGCTCTGTGAGGCTTGAGTCGTCCAGGTTGTGTTTCGCAACCAAAAACAGCGCATCGAATGCCGCCTTACAGGTGAGAGACAGGACTACTGCTGATTCAGGGGGAAGAAATCTCAGTAGTTCGAACAAAACATCGAGAGGTTGCTGGAGTAGGGCTGAGTCTGCCTGCTTAGGGGCTATGGTCTGCGTCAATTTAAGGTGACGAAATATTGCTCTCCATGGGGTACCGTGGAGGAACGTGGACATGTTGACGATATATTTTCCTACTTCGGCCTTCTTCTTCTTAGTAGTAGTTCTTTGGTCCTTAGCCTTCTTAAGGCCGAAGACGAGGCGCTCGAGAAGGTCGGGAGGGGGGGGTTTGCCGATGGGTACAATTTCGTAACTTCGGGAGAGCCGATTTCTCTACCGTAAGTGTCTTCTGATCCTTATTGAGGACCGGGATGAAGACCCTCAGGCTCGGTATCTTATCGAGGTTAGCGAGACCACGGCTTCAGAGGGCTCGGGTTGGCTTACTAAGAGGGCACGGTTTGGCTTACTATAGTGTAGGTTATAGATGTGGATGAGCGTGTGCTTGTATGGTTGATGGAAAGGCAGGATTCTGAGCAAGTGCTCGAACACGGCAGCTTGGCTGTTTTGTAGCCTTCGCCAAAGCCTGATCCTACCCGTGCTAGCTACTCCGATGACTCTGATTATCGGACGAGGTTTTTAGGTTTCTCCGTACGCGGTACTACGAACCCGAGGGCCTGGCGTGACTCCCGTAGATCACGCGGTCGTCGTATCTTGTTGTTCGTTAATTCTCTTAAGGTTCTGCTTTCGTCAGAGCAGACGGTATAGACCTGTTTGGTGGCAGCAGTCTGTACACTGGACTATTTCCTTTGGGTACTTTGGTAGGGCTTCGAGTATACCCTGCTCATGGCTCCGGCTGATAGTACGTAACATCAGATTTCTCGGGTCTAAGCGCAGCTTGTGGCGTTGGGAATACCAGAAGTCCCGCCGCTCACCTCTAAGGAACTTCAATATTGCTAGGAACGAAGAAACAAGCGACGTCCTTTTCGATGAAAAAAGGCCGACAACACAAAAGCGAGTATCGATTTCCGCCAACGACGATAGATCACTTCCTGCGTATCCCTATCAGGCGCACAGCCTAGAAGCCTCACTTAGTTAGGGCAACAGGGGTGCCGAAGATTCGCAGTGTCTGATACGAAGGTCTAAAGCCAGAATCGGTGTCGAATGTATGTACGATCCACAGGCGTTTCAGGGATCTGTCAGTGGTATTTAACAGCCGCGGGTAGGATCGAGAAGTCGGAGGCGTGCCAGCGGACAATGATGGCGTCGTAGAGGGTGAAACGCAGGAGGCCAGCGACCTCTATAGGCGTAGCGGTAAATGTTCTGCAATCCGGGTTTGGCAACTCAGAACACTCATAGAGGGCCTCGATTGGAGCTCTCAAGGTACTGGTATATTTTATGGCCCGGGCTATCCGACCGCTCGATATTATCGTCAGACCAAAGTTATCCAGAACCTAACGTACCTACGGATTATCTTTGATAGCAGTTAGCCAAGACTCTACTGGGACGGGCGGCACAAGGACTGGGTGGGCCTTGAGACTATTGACCGCGAAGCCATAGGTACCATACTAACCGGGAGGTTAAAAGCCTAGGCGAGAAGTAGTAGCCTAACCCGGCGAGACTGTCGACCGGGGAGGGGACAAAAAATAAAAGTAGTAGTCCCAGATCCAGGATTCGAACCCGGCACTTCCGCCCCTTCACGGGCCAGCTTCAGCTCTGTAGGCTTTGACTGGTGACTCCGGACGTGTTACCGCTACACCAATCTGAGGTGAAATGAGTTTCAGCAAAAGAAACTTATAACGTGCAGCACTCGGTGGCAACTCTATTAAGTAGGACTATAGAAGATAAGGGTCATGCAGCATAATAAGATTTATTGTCAACTTACTATGGTAGAACTATCATACACATAACATATGCATACTAATAATTCGCTAGGCAAACAAACAGCATTCTCTCTAGCGCCCGCTCCTAGATACAGGCGCCGATCCGCAAGGCACCCATCCGTCAACTACATCCTGCGGACACCGGCCACCCCCTATCCCCGAAAGAGCTCCAGCGCGTCCGCGCTTCTGTCCACGAGCAGGCTGACGCATCGGTCGTAGGTACGTTCGTAACGGGGCCAAGTCAACTTTTGGGCCACGAAGTCCGTAGGTCAGGCAGACTCTTCCTGGCGTGGCACGCGCCACGCTTCTGCATCGAATGGAAGGCTTGGAAGCCCTTTTTCTCTGTTGGGTGACCGCCCCCCAACTGGGGACCCACCACAATAGAAGAGTTAGCATCACGTATCCGATGCCATCTAGACAGACACCCTGTTGCCGACGTTGGTTTAGGCCAGATTCCTTCTGAATCTCACGGACCCAGCGCTTCCCCTCTCTTCTAACCGTTGAGAAGGATGTTCTCTTGCACAGATCATGTTGGGCCTGGTTAAGCTACTGCGCGAACTCGACATTTTGGGGCTCCCGTTGCTTCTCACGTAACGGGGAATTGAGAAATGAGTAATACAGAGTGACAAGACATCCTTATTCTCCAGTCAGTAATTTTCGGTAACCGCAGATGCTTGGGAACGGGGCGCCTCGCTTTACCTCGTTTCCATGAGAATGTCTCGGCCTCAAATGCTGATGTGGATGAAGCGTTGTATAGGGCGCGGCTATTCTGCCATTGTTTAGGCATACGGTGCAGCCGAACTAGAAGGAACCGAAAGGAAAGTGGGAAGGATGATCGAAGGCGAGGGCATGGAGTATTTATCAAGAACAGTTGACATGATCGTGGGTTGAGGAACAGGTACACATGTACATGAAATCTCCTGTGTAGGAACAAAGTCGGGCCAAGAAGCAGGAATCTGATTGGACGAGATAGGCTGGGGTCCAGGGGCCCAACGAGCGAATCCAAAATGCAGCAGACACAGGAATTCCAGCAGAAATTCCCGTGCCGACTGCTACATAGTAGTGGCTGGTCGAGAATGCTGGTCTCTGATTCGTTTCAATTGAAAAATTGCTGCAGAACAGCTTCCCTCCGTGGCCCTGTACCGGTACCGGGCGGTACAGGCACTTGTAGCTCCAGGAGAATACGCTGTGCCTCAGCTGCCGTGAGTCGATTTATCTGTGCAACTGTTGTCGGAAGATTGGGTATCTCGTCCCCAGTCACAGGATTCCGAAGTGGGAGAAGAGTAGCCGTAGAACTACCAGCGAACCTTTGCGAGTTCCGTAGTCTAGTCGTATTGTTCTCGTTCCTCGTCAATCGAGTCTTGATATCCCGTAATTCGTTAAGAATTGCTTGGGTACCATGGACGCCTTGCAAGTTACGGATCATCAGAGGTAACTCCCGGTCGGTATTCAGAACAGTGGCAGCAGCAATATTATCAAAATTGGGGGCAGGGTTAGCCATTAGTCCCGACGTTTTTGCTGATACTTGGATGGTGGAAGAAGCTCTGCTGTTGGATGGTGGAAGAAGCTCTGCTGTTGGATGGTGGAAGATACTCTCTCTGCTAATGGGGAACGAGAGAAGCCTGGTTGTTGACTCGAAGGTGCATGTACACTAGCAGGTACCTTCCAGGGTTGAAACTTGGGTAGGCCGCACCCGCCAAAAACGGAGGAAGCGACCGCGACACAGGCACTACAGCCTGCAGCTTCCGCATGCAGATCTCAGGCTCTCAGCCTTTCACGAGACCCACAAGCTCTTTCTGCTAGTGGCAGCCAACCGCGATTCCTGGCGTGCTTTTGACCTCTCACACTAGCGAAAGCAGCCAGACGAGCAATCAAGCAAACAGCCCTGCGCAAGTGTTTGTTTCAGCAAACCGACTGCATTTCCATCAACACTCACATCACCACTATCCAGGCCACATCGAAACAGGACACTCGCAAGGAGCTAAGCTCGCTGCTTGCCTCATAACACGTCACTCCGAAACTTTAAATCACCATACCTTCCTTGCCTGCGCATATCGTCCGGCAGCGCAGTCGGTTCCCCCCACCAACTGACGTCGCCCTACGTCCAAACTCTCCCCCGAGAACACCGGCCGCAGGCTTCTAGCTTCGCCGGAACAGCGAACAGTCACGACATACACACACCTACACCATCTAGCCTCGCCCGTCGGAGCGAGCACCTGGCAAGATGGCGGCACGGAAGCTGGCACAGGAGGTGGACAAGTGCTTCAAGAAGGTCGCCGAGGGAGTGCAAGAATTCGAGAGCATCTACGAAAAGATTGAGTCATCAAACAACCAGGCGCAGAAGGAGAAGCTAGAGGACAACCTCAAGCGCGAGATCAAGAAGCTACAGCGTTTGCGCGACCAGATCAAGACATGGGCCGCAAGCAACGACATCAAGGACAAGGGTCCTCTGCTGGAACATCGGCGCCTAATAGAGACGGTGGGTTCAGCCAGACCGCTGCTGGCGTGTAGAGCTGAGTAGGAGAGTGGAATTAGCTGACATATCGTCCCTGTCTTACCTTTTAGCAAATGGAGAGATTCAAAGCCGTCGAAAAGGCAATGAAGACCAAGGCCTTTTCGAAAGAGGGCCTCAACGCTTCAGCCAAGCTCGATCCGAAAGAACAGGCCAAAGTGGAGGCTAGCGACTTCCTCAATGACCAGGTGGCGCTGCTCGAGGAGCAGATCGAGCAGCTCGAAGCCGAGGCCGAACAAATACAAGCGACCATGAAGAAGGGCAAGGGCCACGGGGTCAAGGCGGATCGCATGGCGGCCATTGAACGCATCATCGAGCGGCACAAATGGCATCAAGGGAAGATGGAGCTCATCAGACGGTCCTTGGAGAACGGAGGTGTTGAGCCGGATCAGGTCACCGACCTCGAGGACAGCATCAAGTACTATGTCGAACAGGGAGTCAACGAGGATCCTGCCGCCGATGACGAGGGCATGTACGACGACCTTAACCTGGAAGAAGAAGAGGACCAGTACGGCATGAACATCGACGGGGACAAGGGCTCATCACAGGACGCACAGTCGGTGCAGGATGACTCTGCAGAGCCCGAAAGCCGGGCGACGACGAGCATACCAACCACCAAGGCGAGGTCCACGGAACCGGTAGCGGCAGCCTCCGGTGCACGACGGCCATCGACACAGCTCAAGTCACCCCTCCCCACTCTAGCAACAATGCACACTCCATTACCTACCATTGGCACTGGTGCACCAGGCAGCTCTACAATGAAGCCAGCAACGCTTCCCACACGGCCGGCAGGAGAGGGACTGAAGTACGCGAGTGCGGCGGCGGCGGCGGCGGCGAACGACAAGATAGGTATCGCACCCTTACCGCCACCTCCAGGGCAACCACCTGTCGGCGTGCCACCATTACCGGGGTCACAGGTGAAGACGAGCGCGGCGAACTCTCCGAGCATGTCCACTCTCCAGATGGCATCCCAGACCATGGCAGCACAAGTACAGGCACAGCAACAGCAGGCGGACAAGTCTCTAACACCTGCCGAGTCAGCAGCGGTCAGCCTGCCTGCCGGTCCGGCACCAGGTCTATCGAAGAAGGCGGAGGTCACAAAAGCAGGACCCTCCTCCTCAAGAGGAAAGCCCACAGCGACGGTTCCCATACAAGCACAAGCACAATCGTCCTCGTCGGAACCTCCAGCCGCGTCAAAATCACAAACTAACGGTGCATCCAACGGCGTAAAACCGGCAGGGGAGGACAAGGACGAGGAGTCAATCTACCACCTGCCCGCAGCACTCCAGGACCTGGTCGACTCTTTCGAGACAACCAAGAAGCAGGGCCCAGCACCGGTCCAGGCAGCAGCCACCCTCCGCATGCTGGCCGCCTCACAGGCCAACGCGCCGGGAGTATCAGACGCGGAGCCCCCGAAGCACTACCGGCCCGAGCAGCCGCTATCCTACTCTACAGGCTTGTCTCAGTACCCGCAGGAGCCGCTGCCCATATTCGACAATCCGCAGCTGTACCAGCGCATCGACCCGGATACCCTCTTTTACGTGTTTTACTACAAGCAGGGAACATATCAGCAGTATCTCGCGGCCAAGGCGCTGAAGGACCAGAGCTGGCGGTTCCACAAGCAGTACCAGACTTGGTTCCAGCGGCATGAGGAGCCCAAGGCCATCACGGAGGAGTTTGAGCAGGGGACGTATCGGTTCTTTGACTATGAGAGCACCTGGTTAGTTTTGATCCCGTCCTTTTTCACCTTAAGAACGAGTAGTACTTTGTCTTTTCTTTGCCTCGGATGATTACCCCTTTCCTGCTATTCCTCGCGAGCCGCTGCTGACCATCTTCGCCCCTACTTTAGGATGAATCGCAGGAAAGCAGACTTCCGGTTTGCTTACAAGTTCCTCGAGGACGACGTATGAGACACGCGGCCATGGGATCCTGGGTGACGGATGGGTGGATGTGCCGCTGTGCTGTGATGCGTGCGTTGGCTTGCGCAAGGATGGACAGACGGGTCCCTGTATTGATAACCGGACAAGACAGGTAGTCAAACATGGAACATGGAACATGGAACACGGGTTATGGCAGTGGTTTGCCCTAAACTATACTTTTTACTCATACTGGTCGCTCGGTATGCTGGGCAAATTCTAGTACATCTTCCTACAGGTGTTGCCTATCTCGCCTGCGGATTGATCGGGAGGCAAGAGTGAGTCTCAACTGAGGGCAAGCGGGACTTGTTGCTCTGTTGTCCGAGGTGTCTGCTCACTCCACTCGATGTGTTTGCTGCAAGTGGACGCCCAGCTGAAGGACCGGTCACGGGCTATGTCTACAGTCCAATAAACCTCAGCAGGCGAGCTAGCGTATTGTCTCCGGTGGCAGAGCTTG